GCCTGGGAACTTGATTTGAAGAGGCTTCACAAATAGTTCTAATATGACAGAGTGTTTTAATGTTTGCCCAAAGCAACTTCAAATGATTATTCTTGAATCTTACCGGTCCACCTCCAAAAGTTGGAAACTGTGATGACACAGTGGGTTTCAGCATGGATCCACCCTAGGATCACAAGAAAAATAAAACTTAGAAATTGCCTTTATCCATCTCAAAGTTGTCATTCCACTAACTAGTTGCCTCTGATTTTCATTCAAAGATATCCACTTCTCTATTTTTGAAATGAACAGACCTTGCAATCTTGCTTTCAAAACTTACAAGTAAAGATCTAAATTTCTAAGAGAAATGTAAAATGTAGTGCACAGTGGTAGATGCATAACTCTAACCTGAATTGGAGGAGGTCTGTCTGGTCGTATCCTCAAGGACAAAAATTTTTTGTGTTGGATGAATGAATTCAACCAATGAAAGGGTATTCTGCCTTCTTTATCAGTACGCTCCAGTTGGTACCACAATCCCAATTCACTGAGGAGAAATGAAAAATTTATTAAAGTGACCCAAGGTATCAACAACTTGATCAAGGTGATAGTGAAAAATAGTTTGGTTGACTTTAAAGGAAAACCAGATGAGTTGTTGTAGTGTGCTAAGACAACATCTTTAATTTGTTAATAACATCTTCATTTCCAGATCTCATTATAAGTTGTCCTTTCTATCTGCCATACAATGCTTATGATATTTGTTAGCAGAATTTGGTATCAGATCAACCAATAATCCCTTCATTGATATTTTTCTTTATTCTCATCACCTGTCTGATTGATAATACACTGTTATTGTAAGGAGAAATTCTTTCTTGGTCAGTACTTTGCTCATAAAGAAGGGCAACAGTGGAAACATTTTGTTTAAAAGTTACTTTGGCGATCAATTTACTCTATCAACGTCACCATGGTGATCATGAAAGTGTCACTGCTACACTAGTGCATCCCTGCAACTATAACAAAAAAAAAAGTTGTGGTTACCAAAACTAAGCACCCACCTCTGAAAACCTTTCTTGACTTTCATAGAAAGAACATCACATTGACGTTGTGAAACATGCTTCACTTCTGTGGTAAAGCACAGAGAAACAGGATCTCCCACTTGTTTTATGGCAACATTATTGCCAGGAGCAAAATACAGACTTTCTCCTAACTTTTCCTTAGGGACAACAGTCTCTCTAGGGGATTCCATAAGAGTCTTAGAGGAAGGGAATGAGGCAAAACTACTGTCATCTTCCTTACTTTCACCACTGAAATCACCAAAATCATCATCTTTGTTGGAGTCATTAGCATTTTTTGTCTTTTCAATATTTTGCTGCCAATCCGAAGTTCCGTCTTTAGACTTGGCAACATTGCTTAAGTTCTCGTCTTTCTTCTTTGGCAGGTCTGTCACTTTTGATTCAAAACTTCCAAAGCTGCCAAATTCACCATCACTTTCATTCTTTCCTTGTGAATCCTTTGCATTGGAATCAAATGCTCCAAAATCTCCAAAGCTGTTGTCATTGGAATTGTGTCTCTGATTAACTTTGGTATTTGACTCAAAATTGCTAAAGTCACCAAAGTCATCATTGTCCTCATGCTTTGGGGAGTTTTTGGACTTACTGCTTGCAAAATTACCAAAATCTCCAAATTCATCTGTGTAGTTGTTACTATCAGTTTTTGAATCTTCACCACTTGATCGAAATGTACCAAAATCATCAAAATCATCATCTTGATCTTCAGCTGTGGAATTTTTTCCTTCCAATCTAGGAGAGCCAAACTCTGTAAAGTCATCCTTACTGTCTTTATCTTTTTGAAGCTCTTTAGTATTTGAATCAAAATGATCAGAGTCACTCAATTTTTCCTTGTCTTGATCTTCTGCAGGAAACATTTTCCCTACTGAATCAGAAGCACCAAATTCCCCAAAGTCATCATCATCATTAGCATTGTTTTGGGGATCTCTTGTACTTGTATTAAATACACCAAAGTCACCAAAATCATTTTCGACTTGATTGTCAGATGGTAAAGTTCTCTCTTCAGAATTCGATATGCGAAAGTTTCCAAAGTCATTATCATCTTCCGCCACACCATTGTCATTGGGTGATCTTTTTTGTTTAGAGTCCTCTAGAGCATAATCTGCATCACTTTTAGAGCTTTGATCAAAATTTTCATTAAATGAACCAAAATCTCCAAAGTCATCACCATCATCATCATCAACAACACAATTCTTATCTTGCACAAGAGTGCCTTTTATACATGATGAATCTATGCCTTCTTGACTACCTACAGATTTTGAGATTCCAGATGAATCAAGTTGTTCATTAGATTGCTTCTCATCATCATCATCATCGTCATCACCTAATGATGGTGGTCTCAAAGAAAAATGAGTGAAGTCAGTAAACTCATCAAATCCATCATCATCTGAATAATTGTTCTCATGTTCTACTTCAGCACCTGAACCATGTTCAACTTTACTGGAATCACTCATGTTTGTCTTTGTAATGTTTATCTCATCAGGTTTTCTGGATAAATTACTGCCAGTCTTTTCATCTTCTTCAATGTTTTCTTGGGTCTTTGATTCAGCTACAGGTGAATTTTTCAGCTGTGCTGAGTCTTCATAATTCAAGATGTGGTTAGAAACTTTCCTCTCCTGTTTAGATGATGGCATCTCTTTATGAACATCATAAGTAGTCTCATTTAACTTATTGTAGAATTCTGGAGTACCATTAGCTCTTGTTTCTCTTAAATGGCTGACTGCTTTTTCATCATCAAAATCATAATTTGATGCAACACCTGATGTTTCACTTTTGTCACTGATTCCATCAGATTTCACTTTGTCCTGCACGCAAGTTCTTCCTTTAATTTGAAGGTCTGTCTGAAGTTCACTACTCTTGCTGTCACTTTCTGATGAGGTCAGTTCAGAGCTCACTGAAGGTAACTCTGTACTTGTAAATTCTCCAAATTCATCATCAGATTCACTGTCAAAAGTACCATTACTTGGCAGACCTTCATTTCTACCTTCATTTTTGTCACAATTGTTTAAGACATCAGCTGCTGAATCACCTTGATTAAAACCGCCATTGGCAATGCTTTCTGGATTCAGACTGTCCCTATTGTCCCCAAATGCTGCAAAATCGGCGAACTCGTCATCAATGGCTGGTTGACCACTTGCTGTTTCCACGCTGTTTCCATTTGTATTACTTGCGAACCAGTCTTGTGATTCTCCGTTATTTTCCTGTTCAAAAGCGGACCCAAAATCGGCAAAACCAGCAAAGTCGCCAAAATCCGAATCCTCTTGTTCTCCTGACCTATTCTTCACGTTTGTTAAGTCGCCATCGCGCTTTGATTTATCACTGATTTTTTCATCACGGGCGTTGCTTCTCTTAACCGAAGCTGCTACATTATCACCATGGTACTCTTTTGATTTATTTGCTTCATTTGGGAAAACGATTTCGTCATCATCTTCGTCGTACGTGTCGTCTAAAGGAGGTGGTGCATCCGCTAACACGGTGGAGAAATTCGATCCATACAATTCCGAGTTGTTCACACCGTAATACCACGCCATTTCTTGCCGTTCCGAGGAAGAAAACAGTTCTAAGTGTCATGGCATTCTCTTCCTATCTGATGAAAACTTAATAAATAAACTACCTCGTGGAAAATCCTCATCAATTTTTATCAGAGAATTCAGAATATTGTTCGCCAATGCAACCCACAGTTCAATCATCGAAGGACATGCAACTGATAACTTGATGAAGTTACTTGGAAGAAGAGAAGCAAATGTAAGCGCACTACAAGCTGAAACGTCCCCTTCTACTCCCTGAGATGAGTTTTCTTGATTGAAAATTTCTCAAAGTAATTTTTCTTGTCGATGAACAGTGTTTAAGCGATGTTACTAATTGTCATAATGTGCATCAACTACTACCGGGTCACCCAGCGCCATTTTGTTGACCCATGATGCCTTGCAACTTCTTGCGTGATGTGTGGTATGGGTATAGTGGGGAGGGAGGACTAGGAGGATAGGTTGAGGTGCTCAGGGGGTCCATGTCAGTGAATTGCCTGAATTTGAGCTCACAACAATGCCAATTAGTATTGGTCTTCTCTCTACAAAAATAATGCAAATGAGATTATTTGAGAACTTGTTTCGAAAAACTAGTATGAAACAATATGAATTAAGCGTTTTTGACAAACATGTCATGGCTGAATATCTTTTGTTATAAGGATAAATTGACAATTTTAAAATTGAAAGGTTACCAAAACAAGTACCCGTGACCAAGTTCCTGTCGTCTCTGGCGATTAGGGTGGCTTGTAGGTCACGTACTGATATATTTCTGCCCACAAGCATCAGTAGCCAACCGATGTTAACTATTTCATTCATATATTAAAGTTCCCACGGCAACCAGGTGGACAATCAGACATAGTTTGATGCTACTCTGGTTTGCAGATTTAATGAATGTAACCAAAGAAGTTACAATTCATAGACCCAACGTTTCGACACTCGTGTCTAGTGCCTTCATCAGGGGTGATCTAGACGCTGCAACAAGAGGTCCTTTTATATGATCACTAATTAGCGGTCTCTTTTTCTGACGAGGTGTAAATAGACTTCAGGAAGCAAACCGCCATCGTCACGTTAGTTAGACACGTATGCTCCGATAAAGCTGAATTTTCCTTTTTGCACAGGAAAACCGCTTTTTGGTGCTCTTTTAACCGTGTACCAAACTGACGTTTGGTCTGTCCGATGTATTCGTTTCACAGTCATTGCGAGTCACAGTCATTGCGAGGAATAGAATAAATGGCGTCGGTTCGTTGTTCTTTCGTGACAGGATCCTTAGGTTTGGTGAAATAAATGGCGTGCATTCGTTGTTCTTTCGTGACAGGATCCTTAGGTTTGACTTTGGGGCATATTTTCAAAACTATGTAGCATCAAACTATGTCTATTTCATTTATACTCTAAAAGACCATTTAAAATCCGCTCTATGAAGGACGAGATCACTCAGTTGACGCTACACACAACTATATTTACACACAACATCAGCAATAGTTGAATGAGACCTCCTTTCGCACCGACATGATGTGAGATTGATCATGAAAAGCCGATATAGAAAAAATACTGCCTTGTTAAATATACATTTTATTGTATCATTTTTAGTGGGAGCGGCAGGCGGGCGATTTATACCGGCTTCTGGACAAATTTAGAACAGCAAAGCTATTTTGTAACAAAAAAACTGTCTTATAAGGCAATGAAGTAGGAGACTAAAGAAAATATTTCTTAAATTTTGAACCCAGAATCATGCAGTACTATACCATTATCAGGAGTCATATAAAGCATACATACAAAATAAATAACGAATTCACGAAATAACCTTTTTCGGGTCTTGTCCTTAATGGCAGCCTTTGTTAACTTTAACTGCTTGAAAAGCATTTTTACAGCTTGTGGGTAGACTGTACTCTTTCATATGGAAATTTAAGCGCGTAAATACTTAGATAGGCAGCGTCAAACCGTGCTCAAACCACAGTCCGTGAAACGTCTCATTTAAGACACCCAGGAACCCGAAAGATTCCGCCATTCACTCTTGTGCGTTTTGGAAATACTTCTTGTAGCCGTTGATCATGCTTGCTCGCAGCCCATTGAAGCCTCGCGGAACAGCCCGGCTAAGCATCCATTCCATCCTTGTCTTGGGTAGCCTGCCGTTGTAGTTATTGTTTGTTAGGCTGAACACTTTACACGCCGCTTCTGGCCGTTCGTCGTCTGGTGTAACAATGTAAAAGTTTCCACCATTAGTTGCCCTCACCAGACCATTTTCGCCCTCGGGTTTTGATAGGTGCCAAGCGTTTTTCTGAATGATAAACCACGATTTTTTCCCATACCAGTCAACTTGTATGACGGGGGGTATGAACAACAGGAATTCCCGATCAGCTAGCGGCCAAGTCGTTTTTATTCGGCTTGAGGTTAAGTAACCGCCATTGTCAGGGTAAGCTTCTAAAATAACATGATCTTTAAATACTTCATCCCACTTTTTGCGAATCTCCTGGTTGGATGGGTTCAACATTTCCACGAACTTTTCGGCGGGCATTGGCATGTCAAACGTGAAGAGACTCTTAATAGGAACCTCATCATTATAGAATGTTTTCATCCAGTAACAAGCACCGGGGCTCATGTGCACTTGACGCCAGCCTCCTTTATCCAAATCCTCTTTCAGCCCTTTTGCTCTCTGTAGTTCTTCCTCGTAAGAGAAAGAACGAAACGATTGTCCCTTGCTGTGAGCCATATGTCCGAGTATCTATGGTTTCTCAAGGAGTATTTCAGGTACGAGACGATATAACCTAGGGGTAAACGAGGCGTTAAATTTCTGTTTTTTTTTTTAATACTGGATATGGGTGTAATCATCAACAGCCAATCAAATAGGGTTTCGAAAACTTCCTTCCTTCCGTCTCGGTCGATTACAAGTCAGGATCACGTTCTGCAGATAGAAACACTAAAAGTTTTGAAATACGTTTCCTAGACAACCTATGAGATGTTAGCGAACTAGGATCCCGATCAGGTCGCCACCGAACCAGCTCGCCCACGCCAACTCGCCCCTGCATAAAGTCATTTCTATAAGCCGAGCTCATTACAGAATTAATAAAGGGGGTAAATTTCTAAAGAAATTGTAGTGTTGCGTGTGTGTGTGTGTGTGGCGGGGGAAGGGAGTGTACGAGTCCGCAAATGATCCCAGGACCGCAAATGATCCCAGACCGCAAATGATCCCCAGATTGGACCGCAAATGATCCCGGACCGCAAGTGTTCCCTATAGGCCAATATCACGCACCGCCATCTTGGATCGAGGGCTGCACCAAAACGAGG